AACCCTACCACAGTGTGGGTCTTATAATTAGTTAGAACAGTATAACTGGACAATCAACCAAAATATATTCTAACGGACAAAGTTGTACACGCAATTAGTAAAAGCAATATCAAACGAAGTAAATAGGTATCCTCACTACAAGTGAATAAAAATACTTACAGAACAACTGAACGAATATCTATATACATCCAGCAGCTACGGCGCTGCGCCGACCGATGCCTTAGCAATAGTTGTTGGCGTCCCAGGCCTCGACGACCCTTTCGCCGCTCTCCTCAACCAAGCCTTGACACCAGTACTCAGATCCTCCTTGTCCTTGTCCTTCTCCACCCCCTGACTCTCATCATCCACGCTCATCCGCCGCGTCCCACTGACACCCACACGAACACCCATACCAACGCCCATACCCATGCCGAGCCCCATGATTCCAAGTCCGGCACCAATACCCGTGTTGCCTGCGCGCTGGGGCTGGGGCTGGGGCTGTCCCCGCTTCTTTGATGACGACGACGAGGCGCGTGAGGGGTACTGCGGTGGCTGTGGCTGTGCGGGGCCGGGAGTGGTCATTGGCGACGAGGTAGCGGAGGCTTGTGGAGAGGTAAGATACGACGAGGACGAGGTGGATCGTGACGATGTGGAAGGCAGGAGAGGGGAAGCGTCCGGCGCAATCAAAGTCGCTTCGAGCGTAGTATCACTAGACGAGGCTCCAGATCCTGATGTCGAAACTGTGTAGGACATCGGCGGTGAGAGATTTCTCTGCTGTGCGGATCCAGACCTTGACCTTGACATTGGAGGCGAGGCATCAATAAACGTCGTACGCATGTCGGTATTGATGATCGGCGTAGACGGATCCCTCAACGGGCGTTGTAGTGGCGTTGCCGCAGGTCTTTTCGGTACCCCCTCGAGCGGATCAGGGACATACACCGTAAACGGGCTTTCCTTCTCCTTATGTCTTGTCTCCACAGGGTTAAACAGCGCCTCAATCAGCAGTTCAGTCGTTTTGGTACCATAGGCCAGCGGAAGCCTCGACGGATCAAAGAACTGTGTCGAGGAACGCTTCCGCGTCCGGACGGGTGTTGGTGCGGGTATCGGCGTGGCGTCCATGTCGTTCCCCTTTCCCTTTCTTCCTTTAGCCTTATCCTTATCTTTCTCAGCCCGTTTTCCTGGAGAAGTAGGTGCTGCGCGACCTCCCAGGATATCGAATTCGAGCTCTTCTTGATCGTAGTATGGCCCGTAGAGATCGAGTCCTTTCGGCCGGACGCGGTACATGTCACCTTCGAACCCACCAAGAAGGGAGTCCCCTTGGAGGATGCTGGATATTCCGTTGAGAATCTCTCCTTTTGGGAGTGGCGGAGCGGTAAATATATTGGTTGTACAGGATGTGGAGTTTGGGGTTCCAGACACGGAGGTAGTGGTGGTGATTGTGGCCGATGATGTGGAGGAGATGGGGATATGTGGCTGGGCAGATGATGAGGCACTGGTGCTGGGAATATGGGTGAGATGTGTCGTAAGCTGCAGGACGGTGTTAGCCCGGATGTTGATAAGAGATCAAACGAAATGTCACCTTCAGTGTCGCGTTTGTTTTGCTTTCCCTCAGTAGATACCGTCGTTCTACTTCTCCTTTACTTGCGTACTGAGCTAAATCAAGCATGACTACGCCAAATGGTAGAGGCTTTACCTCGGGACGCGTGGAATCGCGCTGAAGGACGGTAAGCTTCACTGGGCATGGTAATAGCATGGACAAAGGGTCTCTATCGACGTCCATACGTACAAGGAGAGAGAGAGTATGCTCCCATACAACTCCATGGTCTTTGAGGCGCAAGAATTGTGTTTGACCGCGCGCAGGTGTGGTTGGCGCACTTACAGATGGAGGTAATACGGGCGCCGAGGAAGACGCGGTGGTGTCAGTGGACTTTTGCGCCTTTGAAGAACCGGAAGACGACGAAGATGAAGTAGCTGTGGTATTCGCAGAGTACATGGAAACGTGGCCATCGACAGAGTCCGTTTGGTTAGACCCTGCGTCTGCTAAGACGCCCTGCTCTGGAAAATCTGTGTACGCCGTTGCACGCTTCTCTTTCTCCTTTTTGCGTGCTTTACGTCGGGCTTTCAGACTCTCGAGCAGCCCAGAACCAGATTTATTGCTTGAAGCACCATGTGCGTTCTTAAAATTCCACTTAACGGCGAATTCTCCGCTCACGAGAGGAATGTCAGTGATCTGATGTACGTGAAGGTTGACATGGAAAAAGACATGACGAGGAAGAAGGTGATTAAGCTGAGCCCGAAAGCCTGAAGCAGGGTGGGCGGTGTTCGGAGTATGTGGCTGCAACGAATTCAATGAGCTGTCGTCATCATCGTCGCTGCCGTCGAGCAGTGTGAAGGGGTTTGAAAGAACAAAATTGTGCTGAGGAGCAGTCATGGCGAGCTTTAATTATGGCCTTGATCGTGTCTTTGCGTAAAATAGGCTCATGGTTACGAAAAAGGGAGAGAGTGAGAAGTGGCGGTCCACTGATTGTTATCCCATCAGTCCACTCGTAAATCGGCCCGGCCACCCCTTGTTCGCCGGTCATCCCGTTTCAATGTTTCACGGAACATGCAAGGGCTCAAATTAGTAGGTGACTACTACATGACACTTTGTCGAGCGTCCGATTTCACCCCGAAAATAAGAATATGTACCACTGATCCTTCACAATTTTGCGATATGATTTCTTCTCCGACGACTTTGGATGTATTGACTACTCTTATAGATACATAGATATGTTTGAGCCAACAGCAGCATGGCGCAGTTGGAAGCGCGCGGGGCCCATAATATGGAGATACCCCGAGGTCACTCGATCGAAACGAGTTGCTGCTATAATCAGAATTCCTTCATGAAGGCTTTTTTTTTGTTGTTTTCCGCTGAACAGGAACAAGAGTTGACAATTGTTTTTTCTATGGCGCTGACAGAAAAGAAAATTGTTTTGTAGTTCACTGCTAGCGAATAGATGTAGCCATAGGCAACTCTGCATCCCAAGCTTCGAAGATTTTCTTGCCACACACTAGTAATCGTATCGCCGCATCTCCATATCGACACACACACTCATGCCGAGCCCAAGGATTCCGAAGTCCAACGCCGATACCCGCGTTGCCTGCGCATTTGGCAACGGATTTCATTGACTGCTTGATTCCGCTAGTCCAACACTTCGCCACTTTGTATAGAAATGTTTCATAATCTGGGGGTTTGCAGGCGCCCTGACCTAAGTCACAGGTTTGCTATAACATTGGTGATTCAGCTCAGTGCTGTTCAGCAGACAGTATCTTATTTTGGACACGTATCAAAGACAAAGACAGTGTTTATCAATTTCCACGAGCGCAACTAGTGACCCCCCGAATTGTCATTGTAAGCTATGTGAGCAAAGCAGCCGCTTCGATCTCGATAGGCTGAGTAGAAAAGAGTACGATAGGAGCAGGCGATGGAGATGGCTGAAACATGGAGTTTCAAGGACATAGAGAGCCAGACTATATAGAAAAGACCGTCGTTGAACCACGAACTTTTGGAAGGAAGACTCTTGATATCATCACGAACATTGGGATTGGAACATGCTTTGACTCAGACAATCGGACACAGCGTCAAGACTTAACAACAAAAGACTGCGCACATAGCAAGAGTCAGCGAACGGCGACAACCCGGACTCACGAACAGAACTGACACTGCATATACCATATAAATAACCAGCAGTATATCGGGTCCTCAGATAACACCACTGCTTGGCGTCCCATCTCCTTCTCTACCCCATTCAGCCTTCTCGACGTGCACGGCCTCATGATTAACAGCATGAACGCCTGTCAAATGCAATGAAATCTTCTCCCCATTGATGAGCCCTTGCTTCTCATCAAAGCTCTCTGGCCCAGCCACTTCTCCACTACTATCACCGTCTTGCTCCAACGGCTCCTCAATGACACCTCCCTCTTCTCGCAGTATCAGCCATGTCCGATCTTTGACCTAGGCCATAAGGGATTAGGTCACGGATCGATATGGAAAGCAGGAATGGAAGGGGATACATACCTCGAGGTTCTGCCCTGAGCTTAGTGTCTTGATTATCTTGCCTTCATGACGTGCGTGTACTGTGCGCCGGAACGAACGCGCAAGAAAGGACGACATCATATCGAGTGGCCAATCCGGAGGCACGATAGGTATTACCTACAAAATAGAAATGATTTATCGTTCAAAAGACGAAAAAAGGATACAAACATCCAAAACATCGAGGTTTATAGCTTGCGAGTTGATCAGATGCGCAGCACGCCGGGTATTGTCATTTCTGAAAAAGCATAACCACGAAGAAAAAACACCGTCATGCATAAGCCAGAAATTGGGAACAAAAACAGATGCTCACCTATCATCGAGATAGACCTCCAGCAGCACCTTCAACAACTCGGACTTCTTCTGCCTCGTCATCCCTACCGCCGCAGATCCATGCTTTAGTCTCGTACCAAACAGTGCCATCGCCCATCCCTCGAGGCCCGCGTTACTCTCTACCAACGTCTGCGCTGCCTTGGGCGTTACAACATCTCCGCCGAGGGTGCAATATATCTCGGCTGACGTCGAGTCGTGAAGGTCGTGTACAAGCGTCGAGAGCGCTTCGCGGTCGTGCCCGAGCTGATTGGTGAGGATAATTTCAGCTCAAACTCAGTAATATGAGGCGCAGCCTACTTTGCCATCAATGATTGCTAGCTCAAGCATGAGGATCTTCTGATGTTCAAGGAGCAGCGGTCGGACTACGGCAGGATCATAGAGTCCCGATCCGGCGAGGAAAAGGATCGCTTTGAGGCGGGTACGTTTATGTGGCAAGTCTGGTGTTGTTGAGGCAAAGTATGAGAGGAAAGAGGTGTCGCTGCGGTTTGACGCATACGATGCGGCTGCGGTACTTGTCAATAGACCCGTAGAGTGACGTGATAAAACAGACCTTTTGCTCGCCATAGTTTTGACACTGATTCATGTGCGAGGGCGGCGGAGAGCTGTTCAATACAAGATGCGGCAAACATGTTGTGCAGCTGCCGAGACTGGGTATGAATGAGGTCAGGAGGAGATAATCAATGATCATGGGCAGAGGACATACGGTGCTCTTGCGCTCTATGATTAGGTACTCTAGGTACTGCATGCCGGCTTCCTTATTCACTTCTGTAATTGCCTCTAGAAGGGCAAGGTCCTCATCTGGCCTTTCTCGACGTTTTCCCGTGTCTTGAGGCATGAGAAGCTACAAAGAATAATATTGTTAGCGATAACTGATTGACAGGAAGGAGACAAGTATGTACCTGGAGACCTCTTTCAGGATCCCTCTTCATCAGCCAGAGGCCCCAATGTTGTGTCAACGTGCGGTCCCGCTTCTCGTTTAGTAGGGCAACCATATTTGATAGTGGATCAGGAATATCGTTGTCGGTCCACTCGCCTTCAATGAGTCTAAGGGAGTATGTGAGGCACGCTGAGAGTGACAGACGGGGCCGCGTACTTTGACCAAACATCAAGTAGTTTTCCATCATCACCCGATTCTCGATAGAGCATACACAGTGCATTGTAATGGCCTTTACGCTTAAGAACGGGTTCTACCTCAGGAATCATTACGTTGTGAGGCTCGAGCAAAGCGTTGTACAGCTCTTGAGTCTTCTCGAGTTCTGCATAGAGTTTCAGAAGTACCGTGTCTACAACCTGACATGAAATTTCAGTAGTTGCAGGGATTATTGGAAAATTAAATGAACATGCCTGAAGCGTAGGATCAACCTTTACCTGGGCTGCAGAGCCACCGGCAGCATGACCATTCAAGCCCTGTGCTTTCCGTCTTTCCCGCCATCTCACAAGGAAGGATTCCAAAGTCTCGTTGGCTTCCCTCACTAGAACCCTTCCGAGTTCAGCCGTCGCCGGCGCGGTGCGCGTGTTGGGTGAGAGATGCGGAGAGTAATTCCTGACTAGGTTCGTCACAACTGTGAATCAGTTCCAAAAATCGGAACATCAAGAGCGCGACGAGAGAAAGAGAGCATATGTCAATGGCAGTAGGTATTTTGGTTCGCAAAAGAGTGGAAAGGTTATATGGCGTGAAGAGAAAGAGGTCTCACCGATGTCTTCGACAGATGCTTCTGTTGGCATGCTTTCTGCCACGCCTGCGAATACATCCATCAAGTCATCCGAGGCGAACATCGAGCCGCGTAGGTTTGGATAGTAACTGATGACCAGACGTGGGTCCAGTTCTCCGTGAAAGAAGGATTCTACAGCTTCTGCAAAACGAGTCTCTGCGAAGCATTGGAAGCCGATCCGTTGGTAGACATATCGTAGCTCGTCTGCCTTGTATGTGACATTGAAGATATTGTACAATGACCGAACAACCAACCAACCTCATCAATCGAAATGTTCGCTTGAAGCTTGTTTCGCTGACTCTCGATCAAGTTCGTTGCATCTTCAATTCTATGGCTCTCAAGCAGAGCTTCGACCTGTGATATGAGCGTAGAAGGAACGAGAGAGTGGACAGCATTGGCGCCGAGGACAAGAACGCTGGAACGCGGAAACGTCG